AATAATTTCATATTTAAAGTACTTTCAGAAGTTAGAATTCTGAATATATATATAAAGTGTTATTTAATATAAATATATAATGAATATTAGTGTTAAACCATTATCGATACCAGTATTGGGCGGGGCCCCGATCCAGCACTAAAATGGTGGTATCGGTATCGGCACGTACCAACAAATAGGGCCGATACCATTTTTAGAGCCAAAAGTTTATTCAACTATTGTCACCCATTCCAGGTAGGCAATAAAAAGTTCTACTGGATTCTCTTTGTTTTAGTCTTTTTCCTGCTTCACAAAGGTAGGCAGCAGCTTTACAAAACCATGATGGTAATTATTTTACATCCAAGCAGTATGCAGTTCTTCATATATACACACATCAATTTCAAACAGGTGGTATCGGTAAATACAATAAAAATATCAGTAATAAACAGGAAACATGATTGATAACACATCTCAAACAGCAACACTGGTTCCTTTAAGCAAAGCTTATTATCTGGATTAGTGAACGGACTTAGTTTGGGTTTAAAGGAAGGGTCTAGCTTATTATTTAAACTATGTTTATTGGCATCAATAGTCTTAGACCTTAACAAAGGATTTTTAGTTAATAGTATTCAGTCTCCTTGATATCAAATGTAAATATTTAAGCTTAAATTTGATAACCTTATGCCACTGATGCCTGAAACATTGGCTTTAAGATCAGCATCAGCCAATGGTAAATCAAAACGAACCACCAAAATATGTTTATATAGCTTATATATATAAAATCAGTAAATATCAGTTATTGAGAGTTACATTTTTCCCCCATCTTTCTATAAATGTATTTAATTCAATAATTTCTGTAAGCCATCATAACACTTAACATGAATATTGACCAAACCATTTTCACCTTTTATATTGGTTTATTCTTACTTTAAGTATAATTTTGCTGCTTTGATCACAAATAATTGAATCTAGTTTGTAATTAAGGTTTCGTGTTAAAAAATAAACAGACTGAGACCAATTTAATCGCCATTATCAGAGATGTAGGAGTTTAGAAATATGAGGTTTAGACTTTTAAGTTTTTATCTTAAAATCATATCAGTTATGTTTCAATTTGATTTAAAGTTGCAAAATAAAAATAGATCATATTTAAGAATTTATGATATAATTCGATAGAAATACCTTCAGTAATTTCCATCTGAGGCTTTCTGAGCTCATTAAGTGAGCCTGTGGCGCCATCTGGTGGCGGACCATGATGCACTCTGGTCCTGATCGACCTGGATGTCAAAGGGCATCTTCCTGCATCATTAGGACCTTCCTAAGGGAACGATTACTCTCACATCTGCTGATCATTTAGTTAACCTTCAGAACCACAGGATGGTCCTTTAATAATTCATCAGAGTTGCTTTAACTGCGCGATGCGATGTTAAGGAAAACAAAGCGGATATGTTCATGAGAACCGCTGATTATAGATTCGGATCACTAAATGTAAACATTAAATATTTAAAGGAACTTTAAAAGCACAAGACAAAAATACACTAAAAGGATTCAGGATATTTAAAGAAAAGTTATCCTTTCTGGTCTGAATTCGTTACAAAAAACATTAGCAACACAAGAAGCTGTGAATAAATATTTAATCTTTACAGGTTTTTCTTTTTAAAATCCAGTTTTAAACCAAAAAAATAATAATTAAATGCAGTAGAAAGCTTCACACCAGCCTGATCCCAACCTAATAGCCTGATGACAACTTTGATCACAAACCTTTAGTGACGACCGTTTGGCGTCTTTGCAAAGTTCTCACCCAGCCTGCTCGCAGAAATTCAGCCGTAGGGAGGTTCCTCCAGCTGGTCACGCCAAAGCTTCTCAAACACACCGAGTCAAATCTTTGACTAGGCCACTGTCTAGTTCTTTATTTTTTAACCATTGAGTGGTGAAACTAAATGAACTTTCTAGCGTCACGGATCCTTCCAGCTGCAGAACCCAAATGTCTTGGTTTAAAGCTTTTCTGCAACAATAAATTAAATCTTTTGAAAACTGAATCTTGTATTTATTCAGGTTATCTTTGTTACCTTAATTTGTTTCATAATAAAAACATTTAACTAAATAAAACAAACTTATAATCTAGATGTCTACAGAGCTCTGAAAACTAACAAGAAAGGATGACATTACAAAAACAGAAGATGTTAACATTTATTTGGAAACTTTTACAGCGGGACAGGAAATAAAGATATCTGAGTGACTTTAGAGAGAAACTGAGGATGGGTCAGATCCTTCATGGAGACTTGTCAGCTTCTCCGACGTGGTGGGAAGGCGGGGTGTACTTCCCTTCCTTTATCAACTTCTCCCGCTGCTGGCGGATGGCGTACAGCCTCTGATGCTGCAGGGATGAAGAAAAGACCAGTTTAAACAAACAAAGCATCTTCGTTCTGCTGATTTCTTTCTTGCTGAAACACACCTTCACACAACAGAGCAGCGAGGAACTAAACCTCCTACCTTGATAAAGGTTCTCGCACTGAAGATGATAATCCTGTAGCAGCTGCAGATGGACTTTTATTTCCAAGCTGCTTCAACTTTATGATGTATCTTTAGTTTTGTTAAATAACAACCCAATTATTTTACCTCTGAGGTTTTATTACCTCATTTACTGAAGCAGACTTCTGTCTGTCCCTGTTCTAAAGACGGACTGTAGCTGTGACTCGTCATGATGTCTGATGGAGCGAAAAACAAAACAAAACGGCAACCAAAAAATAGTCTGAATGGAGACTTTATTCTGCTCCACCATGTCTCCAAAGACGGAGACGTTACTAATGAGCAGGACGGAGGATCTCAGCTCAGACTGAACTTTCTGCTGCAGGTCGGTCAGTCTATGGTCTGCTGACAGAAAGGACTGAAAGGCTGACTTTAATTTAACGGTAGCAGAAACAGAGCAGAGACACAGTGCAGCAGCATTTGGTTTTGGTTCATTTAAAAAAAC